CCTTAAAATGGCCGGCAGTTCTATTTATTTTCGAAAATCTATGCGGATTTTCATTTTATATTGAATGTTGAACGTTACGAAAAAAATTAAACTTGCGCATCTTTTTTTTAGTTTGGGGATCCCGTTTTAGGTCACCCATCCAAGTCCTAACTTCGCTCAACGGACTTGACTCAGTGTCATGATATAAAAGACCAAGTTTTTTCCACTGGACCACGGTTACAGGTGAATCAGCATAACAATAGCCATGAAAACAATGCACCGAATAGACTAGACTTTTTAACATCAAACTTTCAACCGATTCMGTGCGTGGCAGAGATGCAAGGGATTAGCCGATATGGTCTGGTCGGCCGGCTGGTCTCTCCCCTGATGCTTCGGCTAGAACATTTTCTTGCGTAATTCGTACACCCAAGGGCAGAAGGATTTAATCGCCGTCAGGTCCGAAGTCCATACGACGCCCCAGCTCTGCGGATGTCTCGGGGGTATGGCAAAGTGGAGTCGATTTTTTTTCTTTTTTTTTTTTCTTTTTTCATTATTCATGTCGTTGGGTTCGAAAGTTCGGTTTTTAAATAATGAATGGTTGAAGAAGAAAAAAAATTCAATGATACGAAATGATTATTATATATGTTATGCTATTCTGTGAACAAAGATTTGTGTAATTATAGGGCAATTTGTGTTTTACGAAAAAGAATTAAAAGAAATACGGGTGTGGCCCGAAGGAGGATCCACTAGTATCCCAAGTGCCCGAGCACGCTTATTATTGTTTTCTTTGCCTTTAACCGGTGGTTTATTTGTGTGTGTTTTTTTTTCTTTTTTTTTTAATAAAGATAGCTAGTTGTAGGATCTGTACTGAACCTGAAATTACTCAAAAAGCATTCCAGTATTTTGTCGAGTATCTTTAAATCTCTTGAAGAATTTATAAATAGACATCATTAAAAAGTATGAAATATACTCTACTAATCATAACTGATTATTCAGTTTCGAAAAAAATTTTTTTATAGCTGTTTAAATAGAAAAACGTTACGTCTCACTCGCAATGCATTGTGGGATACTAATGGCTAATCCTCTGCGGGTGGCGGCCAGTAGAAATCTTCTCGCTCGCCCTGGGACTTCGCGGTCAAGATGAAGCGTGAGGTCATGAGAACGAGCCTAKCGCACAAATTGAATTGTAAACAAACGCCTCACTAATGGCCTTAAAAATGAAATAATTATTATAATCATTATCACGATATCAGCTGTCATTCTCTTGTGAAAAAAATGATCGTAAGAGCTGAATTATTTATCGTTCTCTACCACATTCTATAGGTCTTATTAGAAACATGAAAMCATGAATAATTTTTAGCTACGAAATATCCTTCAATTCTCCTCTGTWCTTCGTATTTTTGAGTCTATTTTGTAAAGGTATTATGGACTAAAATATTATAGGAAAACTGGGGTAAAATAATTCTCGAGGGAAGAGATTTCTGMGTAGATTACTTGAGATAAAGCATATATTTTTCGCCATGAACTGGAGAAATTTAACCGCTACGATTGCCGTGTGTGTGGTAGTACAACTCATTCAAGTTGCCAAATGTGAAAAAGGTAAGACATTCAGTTTTTCGCCGAGGTACTTTTATTTTGTCTTAACCAAATTATCCTTGGAAACTAATACAAATTTTTCAATGACATGTGAAAAAGTGCATATATGAAAGACCGTTTTTGAATTCCGTATGAATTACACTACTCCTACTTCAAAAATTTACTCATCTACCGTTTATAACAGTAAAAGAACGAAAATTTCAAAAAATGTTTTTTTTAGTTTACATTTTTATTGTAAGATTGTATTCAATACGTAAGTAAATTTAGATGTTCGAAGCCGTGAAACGCGGTTTTCGTCTCCAGATCAAAATAACTTTCTTTTACCAAATTAACTATTAAGTATTTTTGTCTCTTGAAAAATGGTTCACAATGATTGGGAGACAATACGGAAGAGCAAAGTTAAAATATTTATTTATTTAGCGCCAATTTTGTAATTTATTCGATTCCCTATACGATGCTTTTAGGGGTTTTGCCCTTACGTTTTCTTTATTAGCTGCTTTAAATGTTTACTAAATAAATGTACGGATACTTCCTCATATAGAATATAGTGCTACGCTAGCTTAGGCTAGTTTACAACTCAGTGGTCAACCTTTTTTTGCAGCTTTTTTCAGGAATGTTGTCGCCTAGTAAGTTAAATACAAAGTTGAACACTTTATTCAAGACATATGTTGATGGCTTGATTTCCAAAAATATATACAAATCATAATGTATCGAAATCCCTTGAGGCAATTTTCATATCAAAATATATTCTATCATTCCTATAATTTTCAAGGATTTTTTCTCCTGGTTCTCCGGTTCGCGATCGTCCCTCGCTCCGCAAAAATACACGCTAAATTTCGCCAATTCAATATGTAAGCTAAGATCTACTTTGAAATTTATGTTGTTTGATGCTCGTTATTCAGTAAATAAAGGCTCTCAACTTATTCGATTTTTACTTTATAAAATACCAAGTTATTTTTCGTTCAGCCTGAAAGTAGTCAGTTCGGCACGATCCAACATCAAAAAGCTTTTAAGCTTYTTATCATTAGAAGTTCTAATGACTTGGTTATCAGGCTTATCAACGTACACTCTTTAAAGAATATAGCAGTGAAATATTCGAAGTTCTGTAAGTTGCTTGCAGCAAAGTTTATTGAAGCAATTTTTTTACAACAGCAGTCGCCAGAATTAGATATCCATTGAATGAACACAATTCCATTTTGATGAAGTTTATGTTTTCCTACATATTTTTATCACCAGGAAAAAGAAACGAAAAAATCAAGCAAATAGCCTTTTTCTACGGAGTTTAAATTTTATTTTAGAAATTTTGCGCAAGGCGCCATTTTACGATTATTTACAGACACGATCATAGCAAAAATAAATTTGAATCTGAATTAATTTTTTCCTTTATTGATATTTTGATGTTAAGGTTTTCCTAACCCTTTTTTATAGCAAAAACGAAACTAATTTTTAAAACTAAAGTCCTTTGTTTTTTGTTTCGAA